TTCGATTGCTATTGATAAGGAGACGTGCTGATTAGTTTTTTGCAAAGGCAGGTCTAACCGTTTCGATGTAACCGTTTTCGAATGTAAGATTATATTTGTGCTTAGGGTGACAAAGTCAATCAAACACAATTGAGTTTCTCTGCCAGAAAAGATATATTTTATTGTTAGTTTTACATTAGACAAAGTTTTAAATACAAAACCTTTACATACCTGTCAGAAAAGAAAAGGCATTTAATGTTATTAATCACAATTTCAGTTCCTAAACACATTTACACTAATATCTACTATTTTAGAGATTATTTTACTTTTATGTAATTTTATTAATTTCGCCATGACGTATTTTAGGTTATCACTTGTTTTGCTATCCATTATTGGCGAAAGGGGCGCAAGGGGTATCTATGACGATCACAACGCGCGAAATTTAAACTAAAAAAATTAGGTATTTTTTTTACATATATATATATATATATATATATATATATATACATGTATATATATGAATCGATTTATAAAATTTATATAATTTATCAATTTATCGATTTATAAAATTTATATAATTTATCTAAACAATTCAAATCCCAACCGCCATTTTCTTGACAGTTTTCCTTTGACATATCTCACCTGTCATGGCGGCCACTTGTTGCATGTTTATTTACCAACGTTGTCTAAAATGTCAAAATGTCATCAAAACAATAAATATGCCATCAAATAAATTAAGTAGGCATGTAAAACAAAACAAAAACACTAAAAAAGCATATTTAAAAATAATATTTTCAATATGTTTCATCAACAGTTATCAGAGATATGTATTAAAAAAGAGCCAGAGGATGACCTAACCTCAAAATCCACATTTGTTTCAGAATTTGTAAAGAATTATTGTGATATTAAGAAAGAAGAGAACTGTGATAGTTTAGGATATAATGGAGATTGTGATCTGTTTTATTTCGAAATTTTAGATAAAGATTCTATGTTGGATGTTCATGTCAAAGATGAAATGTGAGTATACCGACAGCAATATATATATACATACATGCAATATATATATATATATATATATATATGTATATATATATATATATATATATATAATGGGTAGTACAGCCTTAAGGCAGGTCTGTGAACTGAGTTAAACTCCAACTTAATTCAGGGATGAAGTAGTGTGAGAGTTTTTCCTATTTCCATTTCATATAACAGTGCCCGAGATGAGCTTGTTTTCAATTTGAATCATATTTTCATCTATATTTTCAATTGGAAATGGAATATATATATATATATATATATATATATATATATGTATATATGAGATTAAGTCTTCAGGGCAATACATCAATTCAAACGTTTCCATACGTTTCGACACATTGTTTGTGTCATCTTCAGTGGACTCTAGTTTAAAAGCACATATTAAAGCTATTAATTAAAATTAATTTATAAGAAAGTGGTATGGTGTGAAAACTTACATGTAATTGTAGTAATGCTAATTATTTCACAATAATAATTGTTCACAAAAGCACAATAAAAACAGTTCCTGTTACTTTAAATCTGAACAATTATATAAAATTTTTAAAACAAATTTTTTATTGTATAGTACATGTCACAAAGCACGTTGTCCAATGCGGCAGTGGGACAAAAATCTGCACAGCACATGTTAAGTTAGGTAGAGGGCACAAACACTGGCCAGAGAATTCAGGATTTGACAACGCGAGGAGGATACATATAGTAAAAAGATAAAAAGATGAAAGAAGACTGAATCTCACATATCTCAACATCAAAATTATTAAAATTTAACATTTATATATATATATATATATATATTATTTTTAATAAAATACCTTTTAACATTGAACAACATAGAAATCTTGACTATAAAATAAATTGTCTGGACTGTAATTTAATTTACATAGGAGAAACTTAATTAAACATTTACAACACAAAAATAATTTTAAAAAAATCACAGACAATTTAAAACTATGCTTGCGGACCACATCAATACTTTAAAACACAATATACACTTTTAATCAGATAGCATTTTCAACTTTCTCACAAAACAATAAAAATGTCGCAATTAGTTCCACACATGTGTAGAATCTTGGTAAAAATATTTGAAAAAAAAAAACCTCTCTCCATGATGTCTTCAACCAGTTTTGGTACTTCTTCAAATATATGTAAATAACTCAAAACTTTGGAAAAAATCTCATTGATTTTAGTATTTGTTGTTATAGTAGACTTATTGAGATATAACATATTCAAATTAGAAGGTTGTAGTACAACCAGTGCGTCTTGAGGAGCTCATGAAATGCAGAATTTTGATCTATGGTACATTGTTCTCTTTTAAAAATATTTTACCTATACTTTCACTTATCAATTTTTGTATTGGTTGTCATAGCACACACACACACACACATATATATATATATATATATGCATATATATTTATATATTTATTTCTATTACAGCCTCCCAGATTCATCCTGCGAAGAGCTCCTAGATGCTGACATCTGCACGGATTTTGTTCATTGCACCGATTGTGATATTTATTTCTGTGATGAACAATCTTTGATTTATCACAAATTAGCCAAAAGATGTACAAAGTACAAATGTTTTATTTGTCAAAAGAAGTTTCATTTGAAAATGGATTTGGATAAACATAACAAAATTCATAAGACTATTTTTAAATGCACGAACTGTGGAGAGACTTTTACATTGGAGAACCAGTTTAGGGCACACTTGAGGAGTCATATGGAAAAACCTACTTGCTCAGTTTGTGGTAAGAAATAAATAAATTAACTTGTTTTTTTGTGTAGCTTGACTAGGTCTTTTCTCTGGGTATGTTGGACTCATTAAAAATAATACCAACTGCAACCTCCACTTTTCTCTTGCTTCTTGTTCCCATGGAAACCGCTGATAGGCATCATTACAATGGGGGAAGGCTCTAGAATTCTATAATACCTATTTTTCATTGAACTTTTATACTAATTGATCTTATTTACTCTTCTTTGAGTTGATTATTTACACATACCATGAAGTTGAAAGGTCTTTTCAAATATAATATGAGTATTGAAATAAAACTTTGAATTTCTGAATAAAATTAAAAAAAAAATGCCATGACTTCTAACATTTGTCATAAATTAATTATTATTTCAAAGACCTGACTAGGTCTTTTGCTGGGTATGTTGGACTCATTAAAAAATAATACCAACTCCATCTCCACTTTTCTCTTGCTTCTTGTTCCCATGGAAACCGCTGATAGGCATCATTACAATGGGGGGAAGGCTCTAGAATTCTATAATTCCTATTTTTCATTAAACTTTTATCCTAATTGATCTTATTTACTCTTCTTTGAGTTGATTATTTACACATACCATGAAGTTGAAAGGTCTTTTCAAATATAATATGAGTATTGAAATAAAACTTTGAATTTTATTGTCACATGTATGCAACTTGTCTTAATGCATTGTTCATTGCAATCAAACTAATTAAATGTATTTACTAAAAATATTAAAATAATGCTTATCATGCATATCCAAGCCTAAGTAAAAAATGCATTCATAGATTTTAAACTATTTGTTGAACTTAACTAATAAAAAGTTGCAAAGTCAGTTGTAATTGATTAAATCGGTTGTGTACTTCCAATTTTTTTTACCCAGGTAAATCCTTTACTAGACTCGAGTACCTCCCAATCCACATGAGACAGCACAGTGGTGAACGTCCATTTCAGTGCCAATATTGCTCCAAAACCTTTGCCCGTAAACATGGCCTGGAGTACCATATTCGTGTCCACACTGGTGAGAAGCCTTATACTTGTGAAGTATGTTCAAAAGCCTTCTCACAATCATCAGTTTTGCTAACCCACATGAAACAACACAATGAAACAAAGAACCACAAATGCAAATTGTGCAGCAGATCTTTTCCTTCTCCAAAACTTTTGCAGAGTCACTTAAAAATGCACAAGAGTGAGAAGATTTTTAAGTGCGTCAAGTGTGAGAAAGTTTTTACTCAATCGAGTTCTTTGAATCTCCATATGAAGTGTCATCAAGAAAAGGAGTATAAGTGTGAAGTTTGTGGGAAGGAGTTTGCTTTGAATAATTATTTGACTGTTCATATGAGGACTCATACCAAAGAGAAGCCTTTTCAGTGCGAGTGGTGCTTTGCTAAGTTTACCCAAGGGAGTAGCCTTTCTTTGCACAAGAAGAAGTCTTGTAAGGGAAAGGAACGAGAATAAGGAGTTGATTTTGTTGACAAATAAATGACTGATTATAAGAAAATAGTTAATGTAAATATTAGAATAAGTGTTGACTTTTGCAGTTATTTTATTAATAAAAGTTACTATGAAATTCTGCTTATGCCTTTTCACTATTCACACTATGATAAATATATTTATTTTCTTATTAAGCTCTTTTTAAAGTTTATTTAACCATAAATAACAAACTCAATGACTAATTTTTACTTCCAAAATGAAAACTGTATTCTTTTGCTATACAAACTGATTTCTGGTCATTCTGAATCCTTTGATACTAAAATTGGACAAATATGTGTATGTATGTATGAGTATTGTATCATGTGGTAAATGGCTTTATTAGTAAGCAGATGCAAAATTTTTGTCTAGAACAAAATTATCATGAGAAAACTTGAACAATTTTATAAATTTAACATTAAATTCCTTCTCCATTATAAGACTTTCTTATTGGTAACATGTATCATGGCATTACTGTTGCAGTCAATTTGATAGCTTTTGCTGCCAGAATTAAAAAAAAACATATATAGAATTACCAATGAAACACAAAAATTTAAATGGTCTACCTTAAAAGAACGCAACTTCCATAATCTAAAAAGGAATAGTGAAAAATAGTATCAGTTAAGGAAGTGTAAAAAGACAAAAAACGAAACAACACAAAGCAAGTTTATTGGAATTTCTACAAAACTATAAACAACTATTTCAAAACAACAGTAACAAAGTTATTTATCTTACAAATAACATACATATATATTTATTATCGCAGCTTCTACTTCCTCTTCTTGACAATTACCTTCACTTCCCAATTTTGGAGAAATTCTTCTAATTCCTGCCTGGCTTCTGGATTAGTTATCTTTTCCATAAAGTTTTCTATGTCGAATGTAATGTCAGAGTTACTTGATGAATCTACAGGACAAATGCAAGGATTGCTGGTAGAACTTGATCCTGGTTTTTGAGTTGGTTGACCAGGAAATCCTGCCTCTGGTTGGCCTGATTCTTGTGATGTTTCATGCGAGGAGTGGGATTCGTGAGAAGAGTGGGATTCATGGGAGGTGTTACATTCGTGAGAAGAGTGGGATTCATGAGATGATTGGGATTCATGGGAGGTGTTAGATTCATGAGAAGAGTGAGATTCGTGTGAGTTATGGCTTTCATGTGAATCTCCGTGGCCTGGAATTCCTGGAGTTGGCCCTGGATGACTGGTAGAGCTTATTTCAGGAGCATGTGTGTTTCCTGTATTCGGTATTCCAGGAGTTACATTATTTTCAGGTTGTCCTGGATATCCTGGTGTTGGTGTTTCAGATTCTTCTCCTGAATTTTCTGAGGTCTCGTGTGAGCTGTGACTTTCATGAGAACTGTGAGATTCGTGAGATGTTTGACTCTCATGAGAGCTATTCGATTCATGAGAGCTATGACTTTCATGTGAGCTATGACTTTCGTGAGAATTGTGGTTTTCGTGAGAATTGTGGTTTTCATGTGAATCGCCATGGCCAGGAATTCCTGGCGTTGGTCCTGGATGACTCGTAGAACTGGGTGTTGAGGAATTTGTATCTGGTAATCCAGGAGTGACGTTATTTCCGGGTGTCCAGGATATCCAGGAGCCAATGTTCCTGAGTCTTCTCCTGAATGTCCTGAAGTCTCATGTGAACTGTGACTTTCATGAGAACTGTGAGACTCGTGGATGTTTGACTCTCATGAGAGCTATTAGATTCATGAGAGCTATGACTTTCATGTGAGCTATGACTTTCGTGAGAATTGTGGTTTTCCTGAGAATCGCCATGGCCAGGAATTCCTGGCGTTGGTCCTGGATGACTCGTCGGACTGGGTGTTGAGGAATTTGTGCTTGGTAATCCCGGAGTGACGTTATTTCCGGGTTGTCCTGGATATCCAGGAGCCAATGTTCCAGAATCTTCTCCGGAATTTCCTGAAGTCTCGTGTGAACTGTGGCTTTCATGAGAACTGTGAGACTCGTGGGATGTTTGACTCTCATGAGAGCTATTAGATTCATGAGAGCTATGACTTTCATGTGAGCTATGACTTTCATGTGAGCTATGACTTTCGTGTGAATCTCCATGGCCAGGAATTCCTGGAGTTGGTCCTGGTTGACTTGTCGAAGAATGTGCTGGGGAATTTGTGTTTCCTGTATCTGGTAATCCAGAAGTGACGTTATTTCCGGGTTGTCCTGGATATCCAGGAGCCAATGTCCCAGAATCTTCTCCAGAATTTTCTGAGGTCTCGTGTGAGCTGTGACTTTCATGAGAACTGTGAGACTCGTGAGATGTTTGACTCTCATGAGAGCTATTTGATTCATGAGAGCTGTTTGATTCATGAGAGCTATGACTTTCATGTGAGCTATGACTTTCGTGAGAATTGTGGTTTTCATGAGAATCGCCATGACCAGGAATTCCTGGCGTTGGTCCTGGATGACTCGTGGAAGTGAGTGTTGAGGAATTTGAACCTGGTAATCCAGGAGTGACGTTATTTCCGGGCTGTCCTGGATATCCAGGAGCCAATGTTCCTGAGTCTTCTCCTGAATGTCCTGAAGTCTCATGTGAACTGTGACTTTCATGAGAACTGTGAGACTCGTGGGATGTTTGACTCTCATGAGAGCTATTAGATTCATGAGAGCTATGACTTTCATGTGAGCTATGACTTTCGTGAGAATTGTGGTTTTCGTGTGAATCTCCATGGCCAGGAATTCTGGAGTTGGTCCTGGTTGACTTGTCGAAGAATGTGCTGGGGAATTGTGTTTCCTGTATCTGGTAATTCAGGAGTGACGTTATTTCCAGGCTGTCCAGGATATCCAGGAGCCAATGTTCCAGAATCTTCTCCAGAATTTCCTGAAGTCTCGTGTGAACTGTGACTTTCATGAGAACTGTGAGACTCGTGGGATGTTTGACTCTCATGAGAGCTATTAGATTCATGAGAGCTATGACTTTCATGTGAGCTATGACTTTCGTGAGAATTGTGGTTTTCGTGGGAATTGTGGTTTTCATGAGAATCGCCATGGCCAGGAATTCCTGGCGTTGGTCCTGGATGACTCGTAGAACTGGGTGTTGAGGAATTTGTATCTGGTAATCCAGGAGTGACGTTATTTCCGGGCTGTCCTGGATATCCAGGAGCCAATGTTCCTGAGTCTTCTCCTGAATGTCCTGAAGTCTCATGTGAACTGTGACTTTCATGAGAACTGTGAGACTCGTGGGATGTTTGACTCTCATGAGAGCTATTAGATTCATGAGAGCTATGACTTTCATGTGAGCTATGACTTTCGTGAGAATTGTGGTTTTCATGAGAATCGCCATGGCCAGGAATTCCTGGCGTTGGTCCTGGATGACTCGTCGAACTGTTGTTGGAGAATTCGTGTTTCCTGCATCTGGTAATTCAGGAGTTACGTTATTTCCGGGCTGTCCTGGATATCCAGGAGCCAATGTTCCAGAATCTTCTCCGGAATTTCCTGACGTCTCGTGTGAACTGTGACTTTCATGAGAACTGTGAGACTCGTGGGATGTTTGACTCTCGTGAGAGCTATTAGATTCATGAGAGCTATGACTTTCATGTGAGCTATGACTTTCGTGAGAATTGTGGTTTTCGTGGGAATTGTGGTTTTCATGAGAATCGCCATGGCCAGGAATTCCTGGCGTTGGTCCTGGATGACTCGTCGAACTGTGTGTTGTAGAATTCGTGTTTCCTGTATCTGGTAATTCAGGAGTTACGTTAATTCCGGGCTGTCCTGGATATCCAGGAGCCAATATTCCAGAATCTTCTCCGGAATTTCCTGACGTCTCGTGTGAACTGTGACTTTCATGAGAACTGTGAGACTCATGAGATGTTTGGCTCTCATGAGAGCTGTTAGATTCATGAGAGCTATGACTTTCATGTGAACTATGACTTTCGTGAGAATTGTGTCCATGTCCAGGAATTCCTGGAGTTGGCCTAGGAGTCCCTGTAGAGCTTAATTCAGGAGCATTAGTGGCTCCTATATCTGGCAATACAGGAGTAACCATATTTCCGGAATCTTCGGGATACCCTGGCGTTGGTGTTTCAGAATCTTCTTCAGTATTTCCAGACGACTCATGCGAGCTATGGCTTTCATGGGAACTGTGGCTTTCATGAGAACTATGAGATTCATGTGAGGTGTGGCTTTCGTGTGAAGTATGAGATTCATGAGAGTTGTTAGTTTCATGAGAAGAGTGACTCTCGTGTGAGCTATGACTTTCGTGACCAACCTCATCTCCTGATCCTTCTGCTGGCTTCAACGTAGTAGAACTATTTGCATTCTGATTAGGTATAACACTGCTCTCTGGATTTCCTGGAAAACCAGGTTTTGTACCCGGATATTTGCTTGTAACTGATTCCTTAGAATCATCATTAGTATCTTCGATTGGAAAACCTGCAGTAATTCCTGATTGCTCCGGGAATAGATCCGGATAAGGAGCTGTTACATCTATTTCAGGTGGCACTGGAAATCCTGGCGTGTAAAAAGTTCAGAAACATCTTGATCTTTTATGAGATCTCTGGAAAGATGGTTTAATTCTTCGCCATGATTAGGATTTGTTATTTGGACAGGTACAGCCTTTGTTGTTGAGTGGTACAAAAATAGAACCACACATAGCCAAGACTTCTGAAAGCATCCTGATGAATTACTAAACTAAACTATACTTAATAAATTAATAAAAAGATTGCCTATTCGTTAGTTCTTAAAGAATTAAATTATTTCTCTATGTACAAAGTTTCACGTTAATTGGTACAAAATAATAAAAAAAAATATAACCAGTTTTACGTTAATTGGTACAAAAATAGAACCTGACGTAGAAGAGTCTTCTGCAAAAGCATTTGGTTGATGGAATAATAACATGTATGTCTATTGGACAGTTGCAGGCAGTTTTCAGACAAATAAATTATAAATCATTTTGTTTTTATAAAATTATATTAAAGTCCAAAACTATCCTGACAAATCTAAAATTATACTCATCATTAAAAATTACTCACTTGAAATCGTTTCATATCACTTAAAAATACTATTTTGTTGATAACAAACTGTTTATAAATTGTATAAGTTTCTTATATTTATATACAAGGTTTGATGACTTGAAATTACAAGAATTAATTAATTTGTTTATAAAGCATTGATGGCCATCTCATGTAACAATAAATATTTAAATTAAACTAAAAAATATAGGAAACAAATTAAGGATTTGTTATAGAATTTCCGTAAGTTGATCCAAGATTGTTTTATGTTGTTGCTTTCCATAGCAATTTAAAAGTATAATGAGTTGTTGTAGAGCCTTATGTTAATATGTAAAGTATAGAATATTTAATTTTATACAAATTTCTCTTATACATCATTCATATTAATCGAATGGTGTGAACGTTACAAGAGTTATCCTAAATAAATGCATATGTTGGCCATGAAAGTTGCTGTATTGGGAGTTTTGGGAATGTTGTTCTGATTCAAAGACAAATTTCAAAGTATACCGAATTGTGGTAGGGTTTTATGTTGTTGGAAAAGGTGAAAATTATATATTATTATCAACTAATTTGGCAAAAATCATTCAGTTTTAAAATTACAAGAATTTAAAAAAATAAATTTGCAAATTTAGAATTAGAGTAGATGAATTGAATCTGAGTTCTGTGAATTTTGTTTTGATTGCAGATCCAGTTTTCAAGTATACAGCGTTGCTGTAGGGCATTATAATACTAGACAATGTTATTTATTATTTATTTATTTGTAATTTAATTTTGTACAAACTTGTTGAAAATACTAATAAATATAAACAAACCGTTTAAGAGTTCTTAGGGATTTACTAAATAAATGCACCAACTTATTGATCATGTAAAGTTGCTGTACCATAAATTAAAACAGCAAGCTAAAATTCACCAACTTTTGTCAAAGGTGATATTTTTCAAAATAAATTCAAATTTCCAAACGATATCTTGTCCGTCAATATTTTCAAAATTTTTCACACATCATTGCATAATTTTTTGTGATAAAATTGATCTCCTGTAAAAGATATGACGTATTGTGAAACTTAATTGTTTAGAAAACGATTAAAAGATTTTTAAACAATCGACATGTTAATTAAAGAATAAATAAACAAAATTCTTATGACGAAGGTTTTTCTTCTAAACTAATTGAAATAGAGTTCTAAAAATAGGAAAATGGATTTAGAAGAGACACTAGCTAAATAAATTCTAAACTTGATGTGTTTTTTGCAAATTTGGGTGTTAATATATTTTTTTAAATAAAATTTCATGTATTCGAAGAGCTCTTCAGGACGTACTGTCTATATTACAATGTCGTAATTTGTGCAGGTTCTACCTCAATTGATAAAATTGATGAGTTTTTTGAAACGTTTTGCTTCAAGAACCATTTTTTGAATAGTGTAGTATGATAAAAATTCTGCAACTTGGTGAGCTCTTCAGAACGCACTGTTTGTACCACAATTTTGTAATTTGAGTAAGCTTTACTTCAGCGTGTCAACTATGACAAAAATTCTAAAATAAATCAGTCTTTTTTTCAAAGTTTGAAGATTTTTTTGAAATTATTTCAGCTGATGCTGTAATAGAACAATCTGTCAATACGTGGAGAAGATGTAAATTTTGTATTTAATGAGCTCTCCAGGATGCACCATTTATTCTACAACCACGTAATTATAGGATGTTTTAGATGATGTGCCTACTGTGATAAATACTAAAGTCGATGAGTTTTCTAAATAAACAAAAGTTTATTTTAAAACAAGTACTAAAACTTGGTAAAGTAGATCTTCAGAACCAGTTTTGATGAGTTCTTGTGGGCGTACCTTCTCAATGTGTGTACTATAACAACAAATAATAAAACTAATGAGTTTTTTTGCAAAGTGATGCTATATTATTTTTTTTAAATAAATAAAGTGACAATACTTAGTCAAGATCTGAATATTGGTTTTCACAAACTCCTCAGAACGCCCTATTTGTACGTACTACAACCTTGCAAGTTAAGTATGTTTAACATCAACGTATCTACTACAACAACAAATACTAAGATCAATAAGTCTTCCCACAAATTTCAACTATGATAATATTTTTTTTGAAAAAAAAAACTATAATAGAAAGTCAAGGTCTAAACCTGGCATTTTCATGAGCTTCTCAGAGCGCACTGTTCTTGTAAATTGCATGTGTTATACATTAACGTGTTCATTATTACAATAAATACTAAAACCAATGAGTTTTGACAAAAAAGACAAAACCAAAACAAGATAAGTCGAAATCCTATTTTTGATAAGCTCTTCCTCAGTAGGAGTTGTATTACATCTTTAAATTTTAGTATTTAGTGTCTACCATATCAATAGACACTAAAATTAATAAATTTCCTGGCAGAACATAACATGTTTATCTTCGTCCAAATTTGAAGATAGCTTTGTGTTAAACCGACTGATGCCACCATTTATCACGTCGTATTAATTTAAAATAAATAAATGTAGTTGCTCTATATACATATATTTAAACATTTCTTTAACAATAAAATTCAACAACAATAACAACAACTCCCAAAAGTTGCTGTTTCTAAATATCTAACATTTTTAACAAAGACTTCTACCTATAATTTATCAAAAACAACTGTTTAATATGGTTTTCCATTGTAGTAACTATAAAATCCCCATCTTGGATGGACTTTATCAGATTTCTGGCGTTTATCATCAGATTCCTCGGATTCGGACTTGGTCTGAACTGTTTCATCATCTTGGTGTTCTTCGACTAGACGACGGTAATTTGGACGTTTGTGGTCAGATTCTTTAGATTCAGAGTTAGATGAAATTGATCTATCACCCTGGTGTTCTTTGACCAGATTACGGTACCAATTGTAATTTGGGCGTTTATCATCAGATTCCTCGGATTCGGACTTGGACTGAACTGTTTCATCATCTTGGTGTTCTTCGACTAGACGACGGTAATTTGGACGTTTGTGGTCAGATTCTTTAGATTCAGAGTTAGATGAAACTGATTTATCACTCTGGTGTTCTTTGACCAGACTACGGTACCAATTGTAATTTGGGCGTTTATCATCAGATTCCTCGGATTCGGACTTGGACTGAACTGTTTCATCATCTTGGTGTTCTTCGACTAGACGACGGTAATTTGGACGTTTGTGGTCAGATTCTTTAGATTCAGAGTTAGATGAAACTGATTTATCACCTGGTGTTCTTTGACCAGACTACGGTACCAATTGTAATTTGGGCGTTTATCATCAGATTCCTCGGATTCGGACTTGGACTGAACTGTTTCATCATCTTGGCGTTCTTCGACTAGACGACGGTAATTTGGACGTTTGTGGTCAGATTCTACAGATCCAGAGTTAGATAAAACTGATTCATCACTCTGGTGCTCTCTAACCTGACGACGGTACCTTTGTTGGTAATTTGGACGTTTGTGTTCAGATTCTATAGAATCAGAGTTGGATGAAACTGATTCATCATCCTGGTGTCCTTGAACTAAACGATCGTGCCATTGATGGTAGTTGGGACGTTTGTGGTCAGATTCTACGGAATCAGAGTTGGATGAAACTGATTCATCATCCTGGTGTTCTTGAACTACACTATCGTGCCATTGATGGTAGTTTGGACGTTTATGATCAGATTCTATAGATTCAGAGTTTGATGAATCTGGTACATTTTCTTGGTGCTCTTCAACCAGATGATCGTGCCATTGTTGGTAGTTTGGACGTTTGTGGTCAGATTCTACAGATTCAGAGTTTGATGAAACTGATTCGTCATCCTGGTG